GTGTCTGTGTCTCCTCTTCTGTCTCTTATGGGGTCACCCCTCATTGGATTTAGAGTCCCACCCCAATGCAAGACGATTTCCTTTTGAGATCCTTCCCTTAATCACATCTGCAAAGACCCTGTTTCCAAATGAGGTCCTGTTCACAGATTCTAAGGTTTAGGACCTGATCATGTCTTTGGGGGATCCCCATTCAACCCACTGCAATTTGATTTGTTTCCTTTAGAAGCTCTAGGGGAGGCTCCTTCCTGCCTCTCCCAGCTCCTGGGGGCTCCAGGCGTCCCTGGGCTTGTGGCCGCATCACTCCAGTCTCTGCCTCCGTCTCCACGTGGCCTCCTCCTCTGTGTCTGTGTCTCCCCTTCTGTCTCTTAGAAGGACACCTGTCATTGGATTTAGGACCCACCCTCATCCAGGGTGATGTCATTTCAAGATCCTTCACTTAATGACATCTGCAAAAACCGTATTTCCAAATAAGGCTCCATTCATAAGTCCTGGAAGTGACGGCTTCAACATGCTTTCACGCGGCTGCATGATTCATTTCGTCCCAACAGCCTCGTCTGGTGCGTCTCAGGATTAAGGCTCAAAGCTGTAAAGACCTGCACCAAAGTCAGCGTCTGCCAGAAAGAGAAGGCTCTGATAGAATGAAACCATTGAACCTGAGTTAACTCTTTCTTTCTCTCTCTTTCTTTCTCTCTATTTCTTTCTCTTTCTTTCTTCCTTCCTTTCTTTCTTTCTTCCTTTCTTTCTCTCTTTCTTCTTTCTTTCCTTCTTTTTTCTTTCTTTCTTTCTTCCTTCCTTCCTTCTTTTCCTTTCTTTCCTTTATTTTCTTTCTTTGTTTCTTTCTCTCTCTCTCTTTCTTCTTTCTTTCCTTCTTTCTTTTTTTATTTCTCTTTCTCTCCCTTTCTTTCCTTCTTTCTTTTTTATTTCCCTTCCTTCCTTCCTTTCTTTCTTTTTCTTTCTTCCTTTCCTTCTTTCTCTTTCTTTCTTCCTTTCTTTCTCTTTCTTTCTTTTTCTTTCTTTCCTTCTTTCTTTCTTTTTCTTTCTTCTTTCTTTGCATCTTTCTTTTTTTATTTCTCTCTCTTTCTTCCTTTCCTTCCTTCCTTCTTCTTTCTTTCTTCCTTTCCTTCTTTCCCTTTCTTTCTTTCTCTTTCTTTCATTCCTTCTTTCTTTCTTTTTCTCTTTATTTCTTCTTTCTTTCTTTGCATCTTTCTTTTTTATTTCTTTCTTTCTTTCCTTCCTTCCTTCCTTCCTTCTTCTTTCTTTCTTTCTTTCTTTCTTTCTTTCTTTCTTTCTTTCTTTCTTTCTTTCTTTCTTTCCTTCCTTCCTTCCTTCCTTCCTTCCTTCCTTCCTTCCTTCCTTCCTTCCTTCCTTCCTTCTTTCCTTGTTTCTTCTTTTATATAAGCTTTGCAGGGAAAACTCTTGTCAGCAAAGCTGCTTACCCGTAAGACACAACCATTCTTCACATTCCTCTACATAGACACGGCCGAGTCCCCTCAGACTTTCAAGGCATTGACTCACCGCTGTCCACACTGATGGATGATGGCTTGATTTTAACAGTTTGATCCAACATCATCTCCTCCTTGCATATTTTATGGCAAGAGTCTGCTGACTGAACCCTCTCCCATTGCACCAACTAATTAACCGCTGTGAGGGCAAAACGTTGCTATTGTCAGCATTGCATGGAGCAGCTAATGCTGAGGAAACCCCGTCTGAGTTCGTCAATAGCTCCCCTGTCCTATCCGAGTCTCCAGTGAAATCTGTTTCCTTGATCTCATCTCCATCCTGGACAGTGTCTTTATCTGGTGTTTTCAATACAGTGGACCCTTTTACACGTCACTCATCACTCAAATCTCTGGAAGAAACAGTGTCCTTCTTATTTATTTATTTATTTATTTATTTATTTATTTATTTATTTTTAGACGGAGTCTCGCTCTGTCTCCTAGGCCGCAGTGCAGTGGCACGATCTTGGCTCACTCCACCCTCTGCCTCCCGGGTTCACGCCATTCTCCTGCCTCAGTCTCCTGAGTAGCTGGGACTACAGGCACCTGCCACCACGCCTGGCTAATTTTTTGTATTTTTAGTAGAGACGGGGTTTCACCGTGTTAGCCAGGATGGTCTCGATCTCCTGACCTCGTGGTCCACCTGCCTCGGCCTCCCAAAGTGCTGGGATTACAGGCTTGAGCCACCGCGCCCGGCCTATTTTTTTTTTTTTTTTGAGATGGAGTCTCACTCTGTTGCCCAGGCTGGAGTGCAGTGGCATGATCTCGACTCACTGCAACCTCCACCTCCCTGGTTCAAACAATTCCCCTGCCTCAGCCTCCTGGGTAGCTGGGATTACAGGCACCTGCCACTGCGACCAGCTAATTTTTTTGTATTTTTAGTAGAGACGGGGATTCACCGTGTTGGCCAGGCTGGTCTGGAACTCCTGACCTCAGGTGATCCGCCCGCCTCAGTCTCCCAAACTGCTGGGATGACAGGCGTGAGCCACAGTATCCAGCCATCTTTCTTTCTTGAGTAATCAGTCTTCTTTCCTCTGAGGACGGGTTTTATTTGATCAGCACGCCTGAACGTGGGTGATGTGTAACCTCACTGGCAAGAGCACAGCGTGGACGGGAAAGAACCGTCTCTTGAGGTGGCTCACGCCTGTCATCTGAGTGGGGTCCGGGCTCAGCTGCTCGCGTCTGTCATCCCAGCACTCTGGGAGGCCGAGGCAGGTGGATCACCTGAGGTCAGGAGTTCGAGACCAGCCTGGTCAACATGGTGAAACCCTGTCTCTACTTAAAATATATATATATATGTGTGTGTGTGTGTAGATATGTATATGTGTATATATGTATGTATATATGTGTGTATATGTATATATGTATGTGTATATGTGTATGTGTATATGTGTGTATATGTATATATGTATGTGTATATGTGTATGTGTATATGTGTGTTTATGTGTATGTATATATGTATGTGTATATGTATATGTGTATATGTGTGTATATGTATATATGTATGTGTATATGTGTGTATATGTGTATGTATATATGTATGTGTATATGTGTATGTGTATATGTGTGTATATGTATATATGTATGTGTATATGTGTATGTGTATATGTGTGTATATGTGTGTATGTGTTTATATGTGTATATGTTCATATACATATAAGTGTGTATATATGTGTATATACATATATATGTATATATGTACATACGTATATGTGTGTATATGTATACGTGTATATATGTATGTACGTATATATGTGTATATGTATATATACGTATATGTGTATATATGTATATATGTGTATACATGTATAATACATATTTATACATATATGTGTATATGTGTATATATGTGTATATGTGTGCACATATACATGTATACATATACGCATATATACAAAATACATATATACAATATACATACACATATATATACAAAACACATACATATATACAAAATATATACAAGTATATGCATATACACACACACACACACACACACACAGAAATTAGCTGCGCCCGGCCCTGCTGACATTCTTCTGAGTTTCTGACGAACCTTCTGAAAGGAGACAAGCAGACATACGTCTACCTCCGTCAGCAGAGGGGTGACTTTGAATAGAATGGGAGGCAGGTTTGCCCGAAGCATTTCCCAGCCTGACTTTTCCCTTTAGCTTAGTGACTTGGGGGACCCCAAGTTTTATTTTCTCTTCACCGTGGTAAAGGACACAGCTCGGTGTATTAACCGGTTTATTACAAAGGATGACGGACAAGGTGAAGCAGGTACTCAGGGCAAGCTGTGTGGTACCCGGTGAAAGGACACAAAGATAGATGTGTACCCGCCCCCCACCCGCTACACCCTTGTTCTGCTCTCTAATCTTTGCACATACCAGAGATTTCGTAAGTTCTGTGAGTACCTGGTTTTCTGCACGTACCAGAGATTTTGTTTTGCACATACCAGAGATTTTGTAAGTTCTGAGGCAAGGTCACAAGACGTGTTTAAGTAAGATAAACTCTTGCTGCCATAAACCTGCTCTCCCGCCTCAAAGTTTGAACCAAAATATCAGAAATGGCAGGAACCAATCATAGTTAGCCAAATCGCCTTGTTCAAACACGAGCCAATCATACATCTGATTTGTATAATAACTCTATGCCCACTTTTCTTAGACTATATAACATTGTTCGGAGCTGAGTGGGGGAGCTCTCCTGCCCGTCTTGTTTCACGAGCGAGGGAGAGTTCCAGGTTCGAACCTGTAATAAAGATCCTTGCTGCTTAGCTTTGACTCTGGACTCTGGTGGTCTTCTTCGGGGAATAAACCGTCTGGGCATAACACTGGCTGGTCCCAACATCTGCGTGCATTCACCAACCAGCAACCCCCAGCCCTCTGGCAGGGATTAAAGATGCTCTATTAGATGGCCGGAATACATCACTTCATCTGCCATTGGCCATTAAACTCCATCTCCATCCCCCTCTCCTTTCTCTGGAGGTTGGAGGTAAAGTTGAAGACAGGTGGATCACCTGAGGTGATTTTTTTTTAATTTGTATTTTTAGTAGAGACGGGGTTTTACCATGTTGGCCGGGCTGGTCTTGAACTCCTGACTGTGTGATCTGTCTGCCTCGGCCTCCCAAAGGGCTGGGATGACATAACTTAATTTGTTGGTGCAATGGGAGAGGGATTAGTAATCACTGTGTGAGGCTGGGCGCGGTGGCTCATGCTTGTCATCCCAGCACTTTGGGAGGCCGAGGCAGGTGGATCACCTGAGGTCGGGAGTTCGAGACCAGCCTGGCCAACATGGTGAAACCCCTGTGTTTACCAAAAATACAAAAATTAGGCAGAGGTGGTGGCTCACATCTGTAGTCCCAGCTACTTGGGAGGTATGGGTGGGAGAATCACCCGTGTGGGGAAAAGAAAGAGCGATCAGACTGTTACTGTGTCTATGTAGAAAGAAGCAGACATAAGAGACTCCAGTTTGTTCTGTCCTCACAGAAATTCTTCTGCCTTGAGATGCTGTTAATCTGTAACCCTATAGCCCCAACCCTGTGCTTGCAGGAATGTGTGCTCCCTGTGCTTGCAGGAATGTGTGCTGTGTTGACTCAGGGTTTAATGGATTCAGAGCTATGCAGGATGTGCTTTGTTAAAGAAGGGCTTGAAGGCAGTCTGCTTGGTAAAAGTCATCACCGTTCTCTGATCTCGAGTACCCAGGGACACAAACACTGCGAAAGGCCGGCCGCAGGGACCTCTGCCCGGGAAAGCCAGGTATTGTCCAAGGTTTCTCCCCATGGGATAGTCTGAGATATGGCCTCGTGGGAAGGGAAAGACCGGACCTTCCCCCAGTCCGACACCCTGTAAAGGGTCTGTGCTGAGGAGGATTAGTAAAAGAGGACGGCCTCTTTGCAGTTGAGGTAAGAGGAAGGCCTCGGTCTCCTGCTTGTCTCTGGGCAATGGTGTAAAACCCATTGTATGTTTTATTTACTGAGATTGGAGAAAACCACCTTAGGGCTGGAGGCGAGACGTGCTAGCGGCAAAACTGCTCTTTCATGCAGGAGATGTTTGCATTCCAGATGTTTGCATACGGGATGTTTGTATAGATGTTTGTATTTGTTTGTAGACCTGCACCTCAAGGCATGGCACCCTGTTTATGACACAGAGATCTTTGTTCACATGTTTTCCTGCTGACCCTCTCCCCACTATTACCCTATTGTCCTGCCACATCCCCCTCTCTGAGATGGTAAAGAGATAAGGATCAATGAATACTGAAGGAACTCAGAGACCAGTCCCAGGCCAGCACGGTCCTCCTTATGCCGAGCGCCCGTCCCCTGGGCCCGCTTTTCTTTCTCTACACTTTGTTTCTGTCTCTTATTTCTTTTCTCAGCCTCTCGGGGTCCACCTGACGAGAACCGCCCACAGGTGTGGAGAAGGAGGCCACCCCTTCGACTTGAACCCGGGAAGCGGAGGTGGCAGTGAGCCGAGATCGCACCACTGCACTCCAGCCTGGGGGACGGAAAGAACGTTCCAAACCTCAAATCACAGGATTGCACCCTCTGGCTCCCAGCCCCTGTCCTTAAAACCCTTTCAAAACACGGTGCATTTAGACAAACTCTGCTGTGGTTCGTGTATTTCTATCATTCGGTCAACAACCAGGGTTTTAAGACCAGTGTTGTAGGATCGCAGGTATAAATTCCAAATATACACCCGGCGCGGTGGCTCACATCTGTCATCCCAGCACTTTGGGAGGCCGAGGCGGGGGGATCACGAGGTCAGGAGATCGAGACCAGCCTGGCTAACACGGTGAAACCCCGTCTCTACTAAAAATATAAAAATTAGCCGGGCGTGGTGGCAGGTGCCTGTAATCCCAGCTACTCGGGAGGCTGAGGCAGGAGAATTGCTTGAACCCGGGAGGCAGAGGTTGCAGTGAGCCAAGATCGTGCCACTGCACTCCAGCCTGCGCGACAGAGTGAGACTCAGTCTCCAAAAATAAGTCAATAAATAAAAGCTAAAATAGCTTAGCTGGGAATGACCATCACACCTCTCGTCCTAGCGACTTGGGAGGTTGTGGTGGGAGGACGGCTTGAGCTCAGAAGTTCAAGACCAGCGTGGGCCACGTTGCAAACCTACGGCCCTACAAACACTAACAAAAATGAGCCGGGTGTCCTGGTGCACAGACCTACAGTCCCAGGTGTTTGGGAGGTGGAAAGTCAGTCAAAAAAAAAAAAAAAAAAAAGGATGAGGAGACCCAAAGTCAGGCAAGCAAGCTTTAGTGAGCTGCTTGGCTGGGTTTTTACCAGAGTTAGAGCAGGCAGCCCCAGTTACAGACGATAGCAGGGTTTTATAGGATCAGAACCAGGTCAGGGGGTGGGGAAGGTGGGTCAGGGGTGCAGGAGAACTGGGTTGGGGTCGGGAGAGCTGAGTAGGGAGGGGCAGGTATCTTGACCGCATCCTGGAGATGATTTTTCCAGCGTTGTTATGCGGGGTGAACACACATGTTAACCGCATCCTGTGACTGTCTGGACAAACAGTTACTGGAGGGGTCAGTGAAGAGGGGCGTGAGCGCCAGAGACTGTGAGGCCTGTGGGAGGAGAAGGGAACGGTCCGGCACGGGTGACCTTAACAGAAGGAACCCTTGAGCCCGGGAGGTCGAGGCTGCCGTGAGCCATGATCGCGCCACCGCACTCCAGCCTGGGCCACAGACAGAGCCAGACCCTGTCTCCAAATATATACACATAGAAGCCGGGCGCGGTGGCTCACGCCTGTGATCCCAGCACTTTGGGAGGCCGAGGCGGGTGGATCACCTGAGGTCAGCCGTTCGAGACCAGCCTGGTCAACGTGGGGAAGCCCCGTCTCTACCAAAAATACAAAAATCAGCCAGATGTGGTGGTGGGCACCTGGAATCTCAGCACTTTGGGAGGACAAGGCAGGTGGATCACCTGAGGTCAGGAGTTCAAGACCAGCCTGGCCAACACGGTGAAACCCCGTCTCTATGAAAAAATCCAAAAATTAGCCAGGCTTGGTGGTGTGCACCTGTAGTCCCAGCTACTTGGGACGCTAAGGCAGGAGAATGGTTTGAACTCAGGAGGTGGGAGGTTGCAGTGAGCCAAGACTGCGCCATTGCACTCCAGCCTGGGCAACGGGGTGAGACTCCATCTCAGAAAGAAAAAAAAAAAAATAGATGTTGCTTTGACCCCAGACACAGCCATGCTGGCCTTTCCAACAACAAACACGGCTGTCCCATCAGATACACTCAGCAAGGATTTCCTTTGTGGGGGTCACTCGAGGTCTAGCAGGGTCATCCCAGGCTGCAGCTCAAACCCAGGAGACATGGTCAAAGGCTCCTCCCAGGACGAGACGGGTCAATCAAACAGCAAGGCACCTGAAAATCACGTGCAACCGGTGCACGACGGCAACCACGTCCACAGCCCAGGGTTCTCAGGTGGTGTAATTAGTCTTGGGAAGGCTTAAAAGCTGCGTGCCACGTTCAAACTCCCAAGGAAGAGGATGGCCCTGCGGAAATACCTGCCATCATCACAGCCGGGAAGGTGAACACAGGAGCTCGGAGGAAGACCTGGAAAAAGAGGACGGAAATTTACAATCCCAAAGAGCATAGGGTTTTCGACTGGTTATGGGAAGAAAGGACAGGTGAATTGTAGTGGAGAATATGGGTAATTCACGCAGAGCCGGCTGTGTGGGAGACCAGAGTTTCATTATTACTCAAATCCGTCTCCCCGATAATTTGGGGATTGAAGTTTTTATTTTTATTTTTATTTTATTTTATTTTACTTTATTTTACTTTATTTTATTTTATTTTACTTTATTTTGTTTTATTTATTTTACTGTATTTTATTTTATTTTATTTTACTTTATTTTATTTTACTTTATTTTGTTTTGTTTTATTTTATTTTACTTTATTTTATTTTATTTTACTTTACTTTTTTATTTTATTTTACTTTATTTTATTTTACTTTATTTTACTTTACTTTACTTTATTTTATTTTATTTCACTTTACTTTATTTTATTTTACTTTATTTTATTTTATTTTACTTTATTTTATTTTAGTTTACTTTATTTTATTTTATTTTATTTTACTTTACTTTATTTTACTTTATTTTATTTTACTTTACTTTATTTTATTTTATTTTATTTTACTTTATTTTACTTTATTTTATTTTACTTTATTTTATTTTATTTTACTTTATTTTACTTTACTTTTTTATTTTATTTTATTTTATTTTACTTTATTTTATTTTACTTTACTTTATTTTATTTTATTTTACTTTATTTTACTTTACTTTATTTTACTTTACTTTACTGTACTTTACTTTTATTTTATTTTATTTTATTTTATTTTATTTTATTTTATTTTATTTTCCTGAGACGGAGTCTCTCTCTGTCGCCCAGGCTGGAGTGCGGTGGCACAATCTCCGCTCACTGTAACCTCCACCTCCCGGGTTCAAGTGATTCTCCTGCCTCATCCTCCCGAGCATCTGGGATGACAGGTGCCCACCACCACACCCGGCTAATTTTTGTATTTTTAGTAGACACAGGGTTTCACCGTGTTGGTCAGGCTGGTCTCGAACTCCTGACCTCACAATCCACCCGCCTCAGCCTCCCAAAGTGCTGGGATGACAGGCGTGAGTCACTGCGCCCTGCAGGGGATTGGAGATTTTAAGGGTAATTTGGTGGCTGGGGGCTCGGGAGGTAGAGAGGGCTGACTGGTCAGGTTGGGGATGAAATCGTAGGGGGTTGAAGTGAATTCTTGCTCTTGTCTACTCCTGTGTGGGATGGCTGATATGTGGTTGAGCCAGATTACAGGTCTGGGTGGTGTCATCTCCTGCGTTGGAATCCAGGGTCTGCAATATATCTCCAACAGTGACCTCAGGTTTTGCAACAGTGGTGTATCCCCAGGAGCTATTCATCCAACAGTGACCTTAGGTTTTGCATCAATGGTGTATCCCCAGGAGCTATTCATCCAACAGTGACCTTAGGTTTTGCATCAATGGTGTATCCCCAGGAGCTATTCATCCAACAGTGACCTTAGGTTTTGCACCAATGGTGTATCCCCAGGAGCTATTCATCCAACCCTGACCTTAGGTTTTGCATCAATGGTGCATCCCCAGGAGCTATTCATCCAACAGTGACCTTAGGTTTTGCACCAATGGTGTATCCCAGGGAGCTATTCATCCAACAGTGACCTAGGTTTTGCACCAATGGTGTATCCCCAGGAGCTATTCATCCAACAGTGACCTTAGGTTTTGCATCAATGGTGTATCCCCAGGAGCTATCATCCACAGTGACCTTAGGTTTTGCACAATGGTGTATCCCCAGGAGCTATTCATCAACAGTGACCTTAGGTTTTGCACCAATGGTGTATCCCCGGAGCTATTCATCCAAAGTGATTATTTTGACAATTTTAGGTTTCAAAGTGACCTTAGGTTTTGCACCAATGGTGTATCCCCAGGAGCTATTCATCCAACAGTGACCTTAGGTTTTGCACCAATGGTGTATCCCCAGGAGCTATTCATCCAACCGTGACCTTAGGTTTTGCACCAATGGTGTATCCCCAGGAGCTATTCATCCAACAGTGACCTTAGGTTTTGCACCAATGGTGTATCCCCAGGAGCTATTCATCCAACAGTGACCTTAGGTTTTGCATCAATGGGTGTATCCCCAGGAGCTATTCATCCAACAGTGACCTTAGGTTTTGCATCAATGGTGTATCCCCAGGAGCTATTCATCCAACAGTGACCTTAGGTTTTGCATCAATGGTGTATCCCAGGAGCTATTCATCCAACCCTGACCTTAGGTTTTGCATCAATGGTGCATCCCCAGGAGCTATTCATCCAACAGTGACCTTAGGTTTTGCATCAATGGTGTATCCCCAGGAGCTATTCATCCAACCCTGACCTTAGGTTTTGCATCAATGGTGTATCCCCAGGAGCTATTCATCCAACAGTGACCTTAGGTTTTGCATCAATGGTGTATCCCCAGGAGCTATTCATCCAACCCTGACTTAGGTTTTTGCACCAATGGTGTATCCCAGGAGCTATTCATCCAACCCTGACCTTAGGTTTTGCATCAGTGGTGTATCCCCAGGAGCTATTCATCCAACACTGACCTTAGGTTTTGCATCAATGGTGTATCCCCAGGAGCTATTCATCCAACAGTGACCTTAGGTTTTGCATCAATGGTGCATCCCCAGGAGCTATTCATCCAACAGTGAGCTTAGGTTTTGCACCAATGGTGTATCCCCAGGAGCTATTCATCCAACCGTGACCTTAGGTTTTGCATCAATGGTGTATCCCCAGGAGCTATTCATCCAACAGTGACCTTAGGTTTTGCATCAATGGTGTATCCCCAGGAGCTATTCATCCAACCCTGACCTTAGGTTTTGCATCAATGGTGTATCCCCAGGAGCTATTCATCCAACCCTGACCTTAGGTTTTGCATCAATGGTGTATCCCCAGGAGCTATTCATCCAACAGTGACCTTAGGTTTTGCATCAATGGTGTATCCCCAGGAGCTATTCATCCAACAGTGACCTTAGGTTTTGCACCAATGGTGTATCCCAGGAGCTATTCATCCAACAGTGACTTAGGTTTTGC